TGTTGGGGATGGCTGGGATGGGATATCTCGGTGTATTGCATTGTCTTTTTGTGGGCTTCTAATTAAAGAAATGAGACAATAAGAGAATTTACACAAGATCGAAGATGCTGGGCGAAAAGGGATTGACAATCTGGAAAATGAGATTGGGGATTTCTAATGTTATGGGGTTATATGGGGATCAATAGCTTGAGAATGAAATTGCATAGATATACCATGCACGTGTTTTGACCAGGTCGGGGAAGTTGCTTAGTGCGGTAGGAGAGCCGATTGGATAGATAATCCAGCTGATGTAGCAAGGGTGTTATGTTGAATGTTACATGCACGTGTTTCTTGATGCGTAAATGAGAATGGATAAGCGAACCGGGCTTAAGGTAAATGGTTCGCCCCCGAGCTTTAAAACTTGGGTGAGGCGGAGGTCAGGTTTCGAGTTTTGCCACCGTCGTGAATTCTACTATCTTGCGGCTTAATGGTTGGCGCACCTTATTTGAGGAAATAGAATGTTCATCATTCTGAAAATCCCAGTTACTAATAACTAACTCATACTAACTTTCTAACCATTACCCTTGTCAACAAAAAAAAAAAGAAGAGAGAATGGATAAGTTTTATTATTTTAATATAAATTTATAATGAAAAGATATATTTAATACATTCGTTAAAGTACAAATTAAATAAACTCTTAGTAAAATTTTGGTATGATTAATTGTGAATTAATGTAATACTTATATCAATATAAATTGATGCTTATGCTTATATAATATAGTATTTTTTTTACATTAGTTGGTATTGAAAAAATAAGAGTTGAATTTTATGTTTATAATGGACTATTGGGCTCTAAAAGTAAATCAGATCTCAGCTGGGGAATTGCAGAATTGGGATACTTATGTCTAGTCTCTGGTATTTTTTTTGAACAATTTGGTATTATTTACAGGTATATACGGGGAGGGGAAAAATGAGTTTCATGGGGTTCGAACACGCCACCCACAGAGGTGAACAGCCTTAACTCAGGATCCAATATCACTGGGTAGAACGGGCCATTCATGTCTAGTCTCTGGTATGGTCCTGGATAAAACCATGGGATTAACCTGGGTACTCCACTGCCCAAACTTAGTCCTAGTGGACTAGGTAGACCCACAAAGTATTGGCCCATCCCCGCTTTCTTGAGCCTCTCTGATCCCAGGCTCGTCAACCACAACTGTACAGAAATGTCCATAAGGTAGAAAAAGCCCACTGTAGGAGTGTGAAAATATATGGAGCTGCCGACAATATCAGTATCCACATTAAGTAGTTGTAATAAGTAATTCATTTAACAAACAATATGTTTGTTTGAGTGAAAAGAACTTGATTCCCTTAAATAAAATCTCAAATTCGAGTTTTATGAATAGAAAAATGAACTTTGGGAAAGCTTCCTTCCATATGGCTCCAACTCGAGTCGACTCTGAATTAGTCAGGATCCAATGTGATTTCTGGATACAGGATTAAGATAAACAAAAACACAATTCATTTATATCTAAATGAAAAAGTGAGTATTAGTTTATATTGTAAAAAATTAAAAGAATTTATAAAATTATGTTATTTTAATAAAATTTTAATTTATAAAATTAAAATATTTTAAATTTCAAAATATAAATAAGCTTATTTTAATATTTTTTCATAATATTTTATTAAAACAATATGATTTTAGAATATATTTTCTAATTTTTTACAACACAAACTGATATCCATTAACTTGATATTTAAAAACATATTTCTTTTATAATCTCGAGATGAGAATTTTTATTATCTTTTACAATAAAATTTTATAATAATTACATATTATCAAGTAAATAAATACATATTAATTAATACATATACACCCAATGACCATTCAAAATGAAAAGAATAATCATAATTTCAATCAAGTAAAATTACAAAGATTAATGTGTGCTACCAAATATTTTTCCTTGGGGCATTGATTGAGAGGTTACCGTTGAAAGCTTAATTACGACAAATTCTAGAAGTCTATTTTTCTTTTGGTGTGAAGAAAGTCTATAAAGGTTGTCTTCAACAGAGTTTTCATACCTAAAAATAAGATATAATTAAACGCAATCTATTGGTCAAACCTTTGTTAATTGGAGAAAATTTCTTCTCTAACGCTAACTCATGAAAATATCTATAAACTAGAAGTAGATATTTTGGCTGTCCACAACTAGAAGTAGACCCTACTTTACTTATCTCACCGTCTCACCCACTTTTGCTTTTAAATTAAACGAAACTGAAATATATATATATTTATTTATTTTAATTGTAAAATAAAAAATAATCATTTTTCATATCTTATTTTACTT